TTGTACAAGGCAGGTACAGTTGTAATGATTGATAGGTAATATAAGAGCCTTGATCGTAGCCAGTAGCTCCAGTTGTGGTTTAAAACCATTCTAGCTACTTCTGCACAAAAAATGTGGATTTGCATTTTTTGCTGCCTTTCTATAATGGATAGAAGTCAGAATATAAGTCAGTTATTTTTGCTATAACTCAGAAATAATTGATTATAGGAAGCCTTCCACAAGTTTGTGAGAAAATGGAATGGAAAGGTAATGACATTTCCCCACAAACTCTCTGAAGCCCCCACGTAGGGGAAAGAAGGGATGCCATAAATTCGATCTTAGTTCTTCTGTGAATTCTCTGTAATTTGGACATGACATATCACCTCTCTGGTTTCTAACTTGCAGGTAAAAGGATCATTAATATTGGGTTCACTAATTTGCAAAGTTTATTTTGAGTTTAAAGGAGTTTTTGTTTTGAAACTAAAAGAATGTCATCAACCCACCCCTCTTCCCACCGAGGTAGAGTTGACTGTGCTTTCTCAAATTTGAAAATGAAGCAAAATGCTGATCTGGTAGGTTCCTGTAACTGTTTTAAGTCCAGCAGCATCTTGAAGGTGTCCTTCTATCAAATAAAGAACAAATGTCTCAGTTTAATATATGGCTGTGTCCAAAAAAAAGCAACCACAGTAGGTGACCAAAGGGATAAGTAACTTTCAGGAATTTTGAAAGCCCAGTAGTATTTCGTAAATGCTCTCTCAGCAGTAAAAAGGTCACCTTGCTAGCACATGTTAATTTTCAAAGTTTAATTGACCTTTGGAATTTTAATATCAACCTTTTTTGGTGTGTTTAGAGGTTGGAGCAATCACAGAAGAAACTGAAGCCTGCGATTGGTGGAGCTTGGGCGCTGTCCTCTTTGAACTTCTCACTGGCAAGGTAAGCAGTGACCTGGCCGTTTAATACATGGGTCCAGGTGCTTCCTTGATTTCAGATTTAGAACGTTAGCTTTTGCCTGTATTTTTTTTTAGATCAGGGATGAAGCGAGAAAAGCTTTGATCCAAAAAAAGAAGCAGAGGCAAATGCAAGTTTACCAAGATTCCAGATTTTGTTTCTTTTTAAGTAGAATTGTGTTACATTAAATAAATTGCTTGTAAAACTGTTATGACAAAATGTTGCATAATGAGCTGTAAGATACAACATTTTTTCTCTTCCTCTGCTGTGATTGTGTGGTTCAGTTTTAACATCTAGGATTCATACAGCTGCATGGTGCATTTAAGAATTCTGAATGTTTTAAAACATTTGAAATTAGGAAGGATCTCTCATTTTGGAAAATTAATATAGATGTTAAAGGTAATATCCTATTTTTACATACTGTAAAAATTTACATACTGTAAAAAATTTCTTCTGGTTTAAGCTTGAAGAATTTATTATACTCTCTCTGTATAACAATTGTATTTTTATAAATAATCACCTACATTAAAAAGTAGATAATCACAACTTTCTAGGATTTCTGTATAGTTTACAAAGTGCCATTGTGCGCATTTCAACAGTATTAAGTATGACAACTAACAGATTCGAAATTTTGAAGGTTTTTAAGAACGTTTTAAAAATGGAGAGTTAACAAGTACCTTTTTAGTATTTTTGATGATAATTTTAAGTTTTTCTATTATAAGCCCTTCTCTTTATAACCACGGGCTAATAGAGTGGCAATATGGCTGGAATAATATTCACAATAAACATAAGATATAAATTACTTCATGAATCTGTCATTGTTTCATGTTTCAAAGTTAGTGTTCTGTAGGCTGATACCCCTCGTCCTAGACTGCATAGGCAGAACTGTATTGATGGCTGCACCTTCAGTTAAGTTGGTTGTTGGGCCCTCTGTGTTTGCTGTCCGTAAATCCTGTGCGAGAGTAGAATATGGTGTTACTTGGGATAAGACAGGTACCTGATTGATTGTTTCAGACGCTGGTTGAGTGCCATCCAGCGGGAATCAGTACTCACACTACTCTGAACATGCCAGAATGTGTCTCAGAAGAGGCTCGCTCACTCATTCAACAGGTAATCTAATTGACGTATTGGATAGCTATATAAACCATGCACATTAGTAGAGCCTGCAATTCTAAAGCCATCAAGAAAAGAAAGACTCATTAATAATCATAAATGCAGAGTTATCTTAAGACCAGGTATATATATTTTTTATCATTTTATTGGGGGCTCATACAACTCTTATCATAATCCATACATCCATCCATTGTGTCGAGCACACGTGTACATTTGTTGCCATCATCATTCTCAAACCATTTTCTTTCTACTTGAGCCCCTGGCATCAGCTTCTCATTTTCCCCCCTCCCTCTCCCACCCTACCTCCTTCGTGAACCCTTGATAGTTTATAAATTATTATTATTTCATGTCTTACACTGACCAGTGTCTTCCTTCACCCACTTTTCTGTTCTCCATGCCCCTGGGAGGGCAGTCTATAGATCACTGTGATCGGTTCCCCTTTCTCCCCCCACCTTCCCCTTCCCCTCCTGGTATGGCTACTCTCAATACGGGTCCTGAGGGGTTGATCGGTCCTGGATTCCCTGTGTTTCCAGCTCTGATCAGTATCCGTGCATGTGCTCTGAAGACCATGTGTTGTTGTTGTTGTTGTTAGGTGCCATCGAGTTGTCCTGCCTCAGAGTGACTGTTAGGTACAACAGAGTGAAACGCTTTCTCGTCCTGAACCATGCTTACAATCGTTCCTCTCTGAGCACATTGCTGTAGCCACAGTGCCAATCCGTCTCATTGCCTCGAGAGTCTTCTTCTTTTTTGCTAACCCTCTGTATGTCTTGGCTTCTCCTTTATCACATAAGTATTGAATAATTAGAGAGGACTGCCAAACCTTCATTCCATTTAAAAAAATCATCTAGGCTCATGTCTAGTCAATTCCATATATTTGAGACTATGTAAGATTTGAATACTGGTATTGTGTTAAATACCAGGGGCTGCTCTCTTTTTGCAATTACATTTTGTAATCTTATACTTTTAGCCTTTTATTTTTATAGTTAGATAAGGCCTCCCCAATTGCTAGGAAAAGAGGTATTCTTCCTAGAAAATCTCACCACATTAGGTCACTGCTTTAGCTTCATCCATCAATGGAACTTGACGTTGTTGTTAAGTAATACACTGGTGAAAGCTTTGAAGAAGGAGATTATTGGTAATTAGGCGCTTTTGAGTTGGTTCCAGTTCATAATGGCCCTATGTACAACAAAACACCACACTGCCTGGTCCCACGCCATCCTCACAGCCGTCTTCTGTTTGAACCTATTGTTGTCACTGTGTCCATCCATCTCATGGAGGGTCTTCCAATTTGTCATGCCTCTGTGCTTTGCCCAGCTTGATGTCCTTCTCCATGGATGGCTCTCCTCCCAACATGCCCACAGCCATCCTTACCTCTACAGAGCATTCTAGCTGTAGTTCTCTGAAGACAGATTTGCTTGTTCTTTTGGCAGTTCTGGTACTTCCAATATTCTTCTCCAGCACTACAATTCAAACTCATCTATTCTTCTTTGGTCTTCTTTATTCATTGTCCAACTTCCATAGGTTTATGAGGCAATTGATAGGTGCACCTTTGATAGGTGCACAATTGATAGGCTTGGCTCAGGTGCACCTACTTCTCTCACATTTTGCTGTTCAGCACTTATTTAAAGTAGGTTCTTTAAATCTTAAATATTTGCCCAATGCAATGCATAGCTTGATCTCTTGACTGCTGCTTTCATGAGCATTGATTGTGGATCCATGCAAGTTGAAATCCTGACAATTTCAATCTTTTCTCCATTTACCATGATGTGACCTATGGGTCCAGTTAGTGAGGATTCTGGTCTTCTCTACATTGTGCTGTCACCCACACTGAAGGTTGCGATCCTTGGTCTTCATCAACAAGTCCTCCTCACTTTAAGCAAGGTTGTGTTTTCTGCATTATTCTAACTTGTTAATAGACCTTCCTCCAATCCTGGTGTTGTATTCTTCTTCATATAAGCCAGCTTCTCTGATGATTTGCTCAGAAAACAGACTGAATAAGTATGATGAAAGGATAAAACCTTATTTTAAACCATGAGCACCAAGGTAGAGTGAGAATATTCAATTCCATAGAATTTGAGATTCGGAGTTTTTGAGAAGAAGAGTAAAGGAGTTATGGTTCAGAAAGGTTAATTTTCTGAGAATACGTAAACTATCCCGAGATGAGAATGCCAAGCGCACGTTGCAAAAGGAGACCAGGACATGATTGATCAAGTGATTCTGATAAGAGAAAAGGACAGCTTCTCCTCTGTTTTCTTTTTATTTGTTGTGGCACAATAAAGTAAATGCACGATATTTTTTTGATAAATAATTTAGGGAAGGCTAGCAACTGCTATCTTTTTCCCCTTAAAGAAGAAATCATTTTTATATAATTTTAGTAATGGCATTCCCAACAGTAATTATATGGCCTTAAAGTACATTATGTCCCCCTATACAGATATGTATAGCTTATGTAGTAAATCAGCATTCTGTCATCAGCCTGCCAAGGAAACTACCACTCCTGTGGAGGAAGCGTCATCAGGAAAGGGAAGAGGGGTCTCTTGGCATGACGAGCCATCTGTCATTCTGACTCTCCTCCTCCGTGCCCTCATGGGTCAGAGATGCCATTGAACGACTCACAGAACGGTTCATAGGGAAACTGTCCTTTGCGTAGGGGAGTTTCTTCTCTTTGGACATTCGGCTTTGTCTTCTTTTCCTTGATTTCTTAATCCCTGGTACCCGTGGTTCAGCGATCTGCTCAAGACAAGTGAATGGTGTTGTCAACTAAACATAGTCCACGCACTTTAAAGAAATACTACTTTGAAAGACACATTTTATAAATCTTCAGCATGTATATTTGTTCTCCTTGGTGTGCGTTTAATTAATTATGTAACAATTGCTTTGTCAGAGGAGAGATTATCAGAGAAGGCTTTAAAAATTGCAGAAAATTCCACTGTCTTTTCATCCACTTTTATTTTTTTGAAGCCACCTTATATGCAATGAAAACCTTCAAAACACATTTCTTTGTCTCCATTGCTCAGTTCTCTTGTCTGCTATGCAGGACGATGGATGGTGGCAGGGCTGTCTTGGGCTTGCTGCTGGCTGGGACATTTTTTTAAGCCATTCATTTTCTCGGTGTGATCTCTCTCAAGGCTGGCATGTTATGGACATAGCAGAGTAAGCAAGGTAGTCATGAGTAAAACAATTATACTTTTGCTGGGTCGATATATACTTGCTCCATGAACAAAGTAAATTAACTTTAGTTGGCTTCTAAATAGGAAGCTTCATTAGAATTTCATATTTGAAACCATAGTTTGGAAAGAATGGAGGTAGAGAGGCTATAACAAAGAAGAAAGAACTTACACATTTGTGTGTTTTCTGTAATAGAAAAATATGTAATATTGTACTTATATGAAATTCTTACCAATATTTTATGTTAGATTATAATGTCTGGCACTATTCACATTTCAAGCAGCAGCCACGAATTATCTGATTTTGAAAATGGATTTGGTGTATTTAAGATATTCTTATGATGTGAAAAGCTGGTATTATAATAGCAGATTTTTCTCTTAACACATTTTACCAAAGTTCTAATAAAAAAATTCTTTGAGCAATTAGATTTAATGGCCATTTTTGCATCCTTGACACATTAATTTCAAGTAAAAATTCAGTATAGGTTTTTGAAGCTTATGCTTTACTCATATGAATTTGGATATATGAAAATCAAGTAAAATTTCTTTTGCAGAGTAAACACTCATAAGGCATGTGTTTTAGATTTGAGCAAGATTGCTTGAATTCAAAGCCTGTCTTTGATACTTCTACTAGCTGTCTGATCTTCAACAAGTTTGCTAAATGTCACTGAGATTCTATTTCTCATCTATAAAATATAGATAATAGTAGCTTTTCATAGTTGATGAACTGAGTTAAATGAACTGAACTATGTTACACATTTACAATAAGTATACAATAAGTGGTATATAAATGTTTACTATTATCATTATTACTGTCAGAACAGCGTTGAAAGCTCATACTGTATGATCATTTGTAATTTGACGCAGCAGATATTTGAATCATAAGGATTGCTCATATATGTGTGAGGCAACTGCTGGTAATAAACTGAAGAGATCAAAAAAGTGCTGGATTGGCACATAATATGTAGTCAATGATATTTATCATATATATAATTGAATTAGTGAATCCTAAGTAAAATAAAAATGGAAATGAAAAATCACTGGAACTTTTAGTTAAATTTGAATAGTAGGAAAAATATCTACTATAGGAATATTCTCAAATAAGGAGGTTGGCACATTCATTCCCAAATAAAAGCATTGCAGAGTTGGACAAAGTGGAATAAACAAACATTTAAGTTCTCTGGAAATTGATCAAAGAGATGCACCAATCTGAAAGGCATGTATGTTTGAAAACGGCTGAACTGTGGGAAGAGCAGTAGGAGCCCGTGGCATTCTTGTCTGGAATTGCTCTATTCCTCCCTCCCACGTGGCCAGGCATAGAGGTCTGCCAGAGTGGGGTAGGCCGGGAAGATCTGGGTATAGGAGCAGGGAAGGGGCCAAGCCCAAACTAGAAGATAGCACAGGCTTTCATGAAAGAGTATGTTCTCATATATGTATATACATACATGCCCACTGTGAAGCATTGGAAGTTGTACTGGCTTAAGGTGGCTGAACACATCTCTTTTCCATCATTGGCTGATAGGAAGCTATGCAGACAACAAAGTGACCCCTAGGAAGACCAAAGGGGTAGAAAATTAGGGAAAACATCAGCAGCTAAACAATGTGAAGGGGCGGGAAAGAAGTGTTTGTTTTTTTTATCGTTTTATTAGGGGCTCATACAGCTCTTATCACAATCCATACATACATCAATTGTGTGAAGCACATTTGTAGATTCATTGCCCTCATCATTCTCAAAACATTCCCTCTCCACTTAAACCCCTGGCATGAGGTCCTCTCCCCCACTCCCCCCAATGAACCCTTGATGATTTATAAATTATTATTTTGTCATAT